AAAACTTTAAGTAACCTTTGACAGTGCAGACTAACTGCTGAGACATCCTGGAACTAAGAGAAGCTGAACAGACTGTTTGCATGGTACAACCATAGGTAGTGTCTTAAACTACTTTTCCTCAAACTGAAATATTACCAATAATGCAGAACCCTTCTCTCTGCAGAAATCTATTTTAGATCTTACCACTTTTTAAAAACTTTGACAATATGATAGCATAACACTCTATTAATCTTCATTGCTCTGACCAGTAGTGAGGACACAAATCTTTTCCCTGATCTTTTGTCAACTGGATTTGCTATTCCCCACACTGTGAAGCTACAGAAATTATTTGTCCTTTCTATTATGGATGTCACAAATATTTGTGTATGGTGGGTGGGAAAAGTCTAATAAATAGAATATATTTATTTCCTAAATGGATGAACCATTCTAAATGAATGTGCTAATCCCACTTACTGAATAATTCCTCTTTTCCCTGACACTGACTTGAAATGCCAGTGACAAAAAACATTTCTTAAGTTCATCAAAAAATTATCACTGGAGTAGATGTAATTTTAGGCAACTACAGAAAATTTTAGATTAGGAAAGATTATAATGAAAATAGGCCTAGGCCTGGCTTAACCTTTACTCTATGCACCACCTGCCCATCGCTTTCCCATCAAAAAATGTAAAAATGCTGATTTTTTTAGTTTACTCATGCTAGAGAAGACAAGACTTACCTAGCAGCTTGAGTAGCTTGGAGCTGGCTTTCCAAATTGTTGCTATTTATGCCTTTGACAATATCGTCAACAGACCAATTTACAGTGCCCTACAAGAACAGGGGAATTAATTTTCAAATTATCATTTTTAAGATTAAATATAATGCAATCCCGACATGAAGACATTTCTGTTTATAATCAGTTACTAAAAGTTTGGTCCCACATTTAAATTTGCCTGTTAAATACTCATTATTTAATATATAGAACAATCCTCAAATTTGGTGTCATGACTAAATGTCCTAAGTAATGGAGTATCCCAGCATCTGGTCACTAAAAATAGTAGCTGTGAACAGGTTAAAAAAATGAACTAGAGTACTGTGAACTTTATTCCTACATTAGTCTCAATCACTTTTATTCAGATATGCTTTTAGGGGAAAAGGGACAGAGTCAGAGGCAATGTGCCGGGAATCTGCAAAGCTAAGGCTGTTATCCACGCATGTCCCCACTGGTGCTGCACATCAACATTACAGGCGGTGACTACGGATTGGAATTAACTGTAGCATTTGTGACTACAGCTAACTTAAAGAGTCAGTATCACATTCTACAGCCTTACAACAAGGAAAATGTAAAATCTAGACAACCCTAGAACAAATTACAGATGTAAAACTCTGTATATAGCATTTACTCTCCATTTGTGGTACAGAATGGGGTGCTACAGGAATTCTGGGAAAGGAGCATTTTTCCTGTTAGGATGACCTAGAAGTGATATAAAGAGAAGATGGGATTTGAGTATAAAACTTAAGAAACAGAACACAGGTAGAATTCAGTGGGGGGGAAGAAAAAGAACATTGATAAAATGAGGAGCACTGAAGGAAAGCATAACGTGGGAAAAAAAGCAGGAAACTGCCCCAATATTTTTAAAAGATGAAAGATAAATTAAAAAATCTAGGATGGGGCTTCCTTGGTGGCTCAGCTGGTAAAGAATCCACCTGCAATGTGGGAGACCTGGGTTCAATCCCTGGGTTGGGAAGAACCCTGGAGAAGAGAATGACTACCCACTTGAGTATTCTGGCTTCCATGGACTGTATAGTCCACAGCGTCACAAAGAGTTGGACACGACTGAGCAACTTTCACTAAATCATTCACTTCTGATAAAATCAGGAAGTCTCCATGAGTAGAACTCTAGGATGGGTCTAATTTCCAAAGAACCTTAAAAAAAGGATTTAAAATCATAAAGTTTCTATGTTTTAAGCAGTATTTTAAGAAAACTTTTAGGTAAACAGTATGTGGCACGGAATGAAAATCAAGAGAGTTGAGGAAAAAGACCTGAAAAAAGCTGGTGACAAGTACAAGAAAAGAGAGGGAGGGAGCAAAGGAAAGGCAGAGAAAGAAGAAAAAGGCAGAAATAAGTTGGTTCTGGACACACTTTCACTGAACACTTGAATGGCCAACTCGAAGTAAAAGCTGACAACTAGAAAAGCAGGGAAACTTCAAGGGTAGATCAGCGCTAAAGACAACCTTGGAATCAGCGTCCATAGATTACAGAGGATGGTGGGGGAAAGATAACCCATCAGAATTACTGACCAGGAGCACACAAAAACAGATCTTCATATTTGATAGTTAAAACCCACAAAGCTAAGACATGCTATTTAAATATCTTTGAAAGGTCTCATACTGATTTTCTGGCTTTACCATAATTCATAAGCTAAAATATCCTCACCTGGTTGTTGCGGTTTTCCTGCAGTGGAGAAGTAGCATCATCAGGAAAAGAGCTGACATTTCTCCTTTTCAGCATCTGGTCATCCTTCTTAGCTTTCCTTAGCTCCACATTAACTTCTATTCGGCGCCGCCTCATTTCCTTGAGAAAAGATAACATATCATCTCACCTATTACACGTCAGTGTTAGTTGCCAAGTGAGGAAAATTTTTCAAATTCACTCAAAGTTTTGACGCCCTTTCCAAATACCTTCCCATTTAAAAAATACTAGGAAAACAACAGAAGGTACTCACTGTACTGTCTTTCCCCTTGTTCTTGAATCTGTTGAGGCGGGGAGCTGGTGAATTAGCATTCTCATTGGTGGACATGATTATGACACAAAGGGAGAAAGCTGCAAAATGAAGGAGAGAGAAATTTCCTTTTTATCACTTTGGCAATAACATAAGCATTAAGGGAATTATCAAATACACGTTCAATTGGTATTTCCATCCTAGAGAAGGATATTCCTTTTTCAGCACTATGGAACATGAGTTTTAGCCAAACTATATTTGGCCCCTCCCCTCTGAAGGGCTGAGGCTTCCAGGAGCGGTACTGTCCACCAGAAACATGATGCAAGCTGTATAAATTTAAGCTTCCTAATAGCCACGCTTGTTAAAAGCAAAAAGGAACAAATGAAATTAACTTCAATAATATATTTACTCCAGTATCTATTTTCTCATTTCAACACATTACATTAAAAAATTACTGAACTATTTTGCATTCTTTTTTCATACTAATTCTTCGAGATCTTGCAGGTACTTTAACCTTACAGCGTTAACTCAGTTTAGACCAGCCACACGCGTGTGGAGACTACTTGAATAGTTAACTAATTAGTTAACTAACAGACAACGTACGGGAAATAAGGTTACAGCTAAAATCTATGTCGTAAATGGCCAAAACAGATACATTCTCCACGTTTGAAAATTTCTAAAACTCTGATTCGTTGTTAACATTGTGTAAACTTTCATAAGGTTTCCTGCCAACCCTGAACACCTGCGACGCAGTTCAGCATCTTGCACATTTTCATTTCCAGAAATTCTGAGTGAACGCACTAAATTAGGCTGTATCAGCTGCGTTCCACTCAAACTCACCTACGTAAGAGCAATCTCCCAAAACATCACAAAAGTCCTCCTTCAAAGTGGCTATCTTTAATTCCATTCTGTTCTTTTAGAAATTGTGACAGAGCCAACCCACGGCCTACAAATTAAGAGACAGCACCTCCAACTGCCACCTCCATCTCCAGTCCCCTCCCCTACCCCCTTCCCCACCCCCATTTCGAGGAAGCAGCAGCGGGAACCCGCGGAAGGAGGAGCCAGAGGCGCCGGGCCCCCTACCGAGGCTTTCGTCCTCGGGCCTGACTCTAGCTCTTGCGGTTGCAGCGGTTCGCAAGGCCTCGGGCACTAAGGCCCGAGCATTCGCATCCGTAGTGAAACACCCGTTTCGTCAACGAACTACGCCCCCGAGGCCTCATCGACCAGAGAGGCCAAAGCCTGGCCGCGCGTCTACCCCGAGATTCCCCTCCCGCCTCCAGCAATCTGAGAGCGGCCTACGGGCCCGCCTTTGCCGCTCAAGCTGCGCTGCGACCTCAGTTCGTACCTACACAGCAGGCTCAAGCGTCCACCGGAGGCGGTGCGCGGCGCACAAGCTGAGGGATCTGCTGCCTCTAAACGTCCACCACGGTCAGCCCGAGGACGATGTGGCTCGTGCAGCCGGCCGGCGCGATTTAAATTTCCCGGTGGCTCCGCATTCCGATTGGCTGGTTCGAGCTTACGCTATACGCCCATTGGTGAATTTGAAAAACACGTTAGCTGGGGAGGGGGTCAGAGGGCCCAGAAGAACATAGGCTAGCATCGCGAGATAAGGGAGCGGCCGCGCGATCCCCGAGAGCCCTGCAGAGCGGAGAAGAAAAACTCCAGATCCCGGCATGCACCGTGCAGGGCCGGGTCCCTGTCCATCTTAGTCGGAGGGTTAGCTCTTTGCATGGGTTTACCGCTGTGTGGTGGCTGGTCGTTTTCCTGAGTGTTTGCCTTAACTTAGTACCACAAATGATTCCCAAAATAATTCTCTTTAAAAATCTTAATAAAGAAATATATTGCTATGCATTTTTCCCGACAGGACTCAGAAGGAACTTGGCCGGGGTCTCTGGCCATGAAGGAGGGGAGGAGTAAGGCAGATATGTGCTGTATTTTTTTAGTTGTTAGTTTTTAACTAACTGCATAGAAGGCAGAACTATGTTAACAAAAGATTTATTACTGCCTGCTTCTCCAGTCTTACTTTTAATAATTTCAAATACAAAAGAATTGCAAATCTTTATCCATATTTGCTAAATGTTAATTTACTATTTTGAGATATATATATATGTATACACACCCACACACGCGTGTACCTGTATTTATATATACATGGCTTTTACATATTACTTTTTGAACCATTTGAGAGTAAGTTTGAGAAATCATGTCCGTTTTACCCCTAAATATTTCAGCTTGTATCTTGTAAGAATAAGGACATTCTGTTATATTACCATACCATAATCATCAAATTCAAGACAATTGAACTTATGTGTGATTATTTATTTATATTCTGTGTTCAAATTGTCAATTGTTATAGTAATGATCTATGCTATATATTATATATTTCAAATAAAATGTTTGCATTTTCTTGTAATTTAAAAAAAAGCATCAGTGATAGTTATCAGAACCTCAGGATTATGGTCTACTTTCTTTTTGCAACTTTTCTGTATTCTGAGAAGGGTTTTTTTTAAAGAAAAGCTGTACTGGCTTTTTCTTTTATTTACTATGAATTCAAACAATGAACTTTGTCCCTCCTGCAGGCACTTTTTGCCAGCCTCACTCACTGTGTAGCAGTAATGGGAGTCACGGAGGCTCATTCTACTCCCCCATAACCAATCAGCATAATCTTACCCCCCTAAATGCACAAGGTGGAAGGATTTCACCTCTAAACCAGTCACTACCTGGCATTCTCTTGGCTACTGTGAATGGTTCAGGGGGAGTCATGTGACCTAAATTCATTCAGTTGAGGAGTCTATGCCTTTTGTTTAATGATGAGAGGTAGGAAAGGAGGCTCTGTTCTCAATTGAGAGATGTGAATCCTAGAAATGCCGTAAGACAATTGGAGAGAAACCGTGAAAACTTTGATCAATACCATGCCTTACCTCAAAAGGCTGCAATTATATGACTTTGCAAATATATCATCCAGTACACTTCCTCTGTTGTTTAAGCTAGTTATATTGGGTCTTCTTTTGTTTACAAATAAATATTGGGTACTATGTGCTCAGAAGTGTTCTAAGTTTTTTACCTTTATGAATACATTTAATCTTCACAATTCTGTGAGGTAGCATTTTCATCTGTTCCATTTCACAGAAGAGGAGAGTGGGTGGTTAAGTAACTTGTCCACATTCACACAGGAGTAAATGGCAGAGACAGGACTCAAACCCAGGCCCTCTCCTTCCAGGATCCATGCTCTCTGACCACTGTTCTGTACTTGCACCTGAAAACAACCTGAAACAGAAGTAAAATGTCAACAGTGAAAGTTGCCTTTGAAAGATGCCTTGCCCTGGGAAAGGATAGAGCCCCACCCCCTCAAATCTTCCTATTGTAGTTGGATGGAGATTCAGAAGAGGGCCTAATGTGGCCTAAACCAATCCCATTCCATCCTCCAGACAGAGGAATTGGCTTGCTGATGAAGATGTAACAGAATACAGTAAAATATTTACTGAGACGTTTGTGAGATAGCCTCTCTCTTCCAGTGGACTGTGTGCTATGCTGATGTGAGCCTGAGAACAAAGCTGAACCTGAGAAGCAAACTCAAATGTGCCCAAGTCTGAATAATCATAGTCTGGCAGTCATTCTTTCAAGTAAGAACTGTGTTCCATTGAAAAGGCAACTAGTGTAGCCTGCAACTCAAACACTGCACAAAATGTTTTCCTCAAGAGACAATCATTGAATTTTGGTTATCTGGTAGAAGTGATTTATGCATAATTCCCATTTTGTCTCATAAAATATTAAAAACATTCAAGGGTTGGGATTTAAATTAATAATTCTTATAGTGTCACCTCTTCCAACAACACAAGAGAAGACTCTACACATGGACATCACCAGATGGTCAACACCAAAATGAGACTGATTATATTCTTTGCAGCCAAATATGGAGAAGCTCTATACAGTCAGCAAAAACAAGACTGGGAGCTGACTGTGGCTCAGATCATGAACTCCTTATTGCCAGATTCAGACTTAAATTGAAGAAAGTAGGGAAAATCACTAGACCATTCAGGTATGACCTAATCAAATCCCTTACGATTATACAGTGGAAGTGAGAAATAGATTTAAGGGATT